GAAAGGGGGAAGGGGGGCTGGAAATATGACGTCTTTCTTAACCGGTTCCATTTTAGAGTTACATGTATTTCAAATAACACAATATGTCTCCCTTTCTCCCTATTGTCTCCAAACAGGCACTTTGAGCAAAAATTATTCTTTACTCCCATCGACTTGAACTGTAATATCTTAGACCAGGCACTGTCATGGCCGCTGGGGTTTGCTCTCTATAAAATCTTCGCTGCACTGGTGCGCACTATAGGTGTGGTAAATGAAATTCAAAATAACAGCAAACGCTTTATTTTCATTCTTGCCGTTCATTTGATTCGAAACTGAGTTAATTGATGCGCTCAAAGATCGTGTATAACAAAAGAGTTCACTCCTATCTTTGAGCCAATTAAAAAAAAAATTCCTCAAAAATTGGTGGCGCCCTCTTTGAAAAAGTGCGGACTTTGCGAACAGAGTTACCCTACTTGTGTGAAAAACAACTAAAGTGAAACTAACAAATTTTGCTTTTTCTATTCTTCTGGAGAAACAAAAGAGAGCATCAAAATAAACACACAACGACATCTGAATCAATGCCCGGACTTCCTCGGACACTTTTTTAGCTGAGTGAACAATCCTGTTAAGTGGGATCTTTGGTGCGCTCCATGGCGTACCAGAAGTACGTCAGAGCGCACAGTCTTGGGTATTATGAATAAGTCTATGATTACTTCCAACAATGTTCTTGTAGATGTCTATGTCATTGTCACGGTGTGTGATGTAAGGAGCTGAAGTAGACCGTCCGGATACAAAAGATAATGCACACATGCGCATATGAATTTTAATGCTATTCTTCTTCTTCTTTTTTTTTTTAAAATCTGTTCACGGGTCCAATACAGAGCTTGTCAACCATTTTATACACAGCGCCCACTTTTGCCACTTGTCATTAAATTCCTGCATGTTGTTGAATGTTGCATCTGATGTGATATGTACATTTTGTCAGCTTTACATTTCTTTTCATATTGAACTTTAATGAGAGTAATGAAATGTAATTTTTATGTATACTTGCCCGTGTTTTTACTGTCTTGTACAGCCAAGAAAAATTTCCCCCTGGGACAACAAAGTATTATCTTATCTTATCTATCTTATCTTATAAAGCTAAAATTTTCGAACCGCTCACATACAAGTATTTCAAAGCAGGGAATAACAATACTTTTCACTTCCGGGTGATCCCTACCACTCACCAAAATGACCAATCGCCCATCGCCAGTACAGTGGGCAACACTGGTGTAATGGGCGATACCTCCCAGGTCTTGTGTGTATTGAAAATGTTCTCCATGTTCCAGCGGGGCTCTCTCAAATCGTGTTGTTGTTGCTGTTGTCGTCGTTGTTGTTGTTCGTGTTGCTATTTTTATAATAACCCAAGGGCTTCTCTAAAATCTTGTTGTTGTTGCTGTCGTTGTCGGTGTGTTGTTACTGTTATTGTTGTTGTTGTTAATGTTGTTTGTTGTTTCTGTTGCAATTGTGTTTTTTTTTAATTATGATTATTGCTGCTGGTGGTGGTAGTAGTGTTGTTGCTGTTGGCATTGTTGTTGATATTGTTAGTGATGGTGGTGGCGCTGTTCGTAGTGGTAATGGTTGTGGTTGCGGTGATGGTAGTGGTAGTTATGGTGGTGATGATAGTTATGCTGGGAAATATTGGTGATGTTGTAGTGGTGGCGTTTAGTAAATGTTAAATTCCCGATTCCGCTCAAAATTGTGGATTTTGAGTTGTAGGCATTTTTAGCTTCTTGAGCCTCTTTTACAACTATTTCATCGCATAAGAACCCACTAAAGTCTCATTTCTTCCCATACCGGGCATGTTGGTCAGCACCCTTTCCTCATGAAGTCAATCTTTTGTTTTTCTTTATCGCCCGTTTTCTTAAAACGCGGGTTTTCTATATGCTTTTTAGAATAACTCCACCATTTTTCGTCCAATCTTCATTAAATTTTCACAGCATAAAGAGAAAATGTATTACTAAAATGTGTCTGTTGAATTCTTGATATCTGGAATAGAACTCTGTAGGCTGTGTCCGGACTGTGGATTTTCACGGATTTTTTGCAAACTTGAATGTGACCTCAAGAAAAAAATTCCTAAAAAAAAATATAATTTGTTTAGGAAAAAATTCAACAGACAAATTTGTAAATAAAATGTTAGCTAACATGTATGTATGCCCAAAAAAAATAAAATCGATAGCCATGAAAAGTATGTGCGATATTCATTACGTAAGACATGTCAACAAAATCCAGTATGGCCGCCGTATCGATGGCCACGAAACTTTTTTCTCAAATTTGGTGGCGGACTTTAATACTTTTTACTATGTTTGTTATATGTGTGAAATTCGGCAAAATTTGATCTACCAATAAGCGAGATAGCCTTCAGCTGTTACCCCCCCCCCCCCCCCCCCGCATCCTTTAAACTCTCTTATAGACACACACAACCATGACATTAAGTCGAGCCAACTACATCACCCCTACCCTTCCACGCCCCCTCACCAAACTTGTAGGGTTCACTATAGCAGAAAAAAAACAACAGCCATCTGATATCTTTTCCCACTCAGAAATCTAACTCCCATCTTTAATTGCACATCGCTGACGGTAACCACAAGACCAGAGTTAAGGAGCAGCTGGGGAGAGCAAAATTAAGAATATTTCTCCCGCTAAGTGGTGAGAAACGCGTGACAGTTGTAAGACAAACTTAATGAAAAACGAGCTGTTGGTGGTAATAAATCGTCACATTAGCAGCCCATCTCCATTATGGAAAATGAAGCTCTCGGTTAATGTGTAATGAAGATCTAGCAGAGATCGCACCGCGCGCTCATGTTAATATTTTGACTTTATGCAGTTGTGAGAGAGGTTAAACTCTCTTAACCAAGAACAAAAATAAGAGATCACACATACTATTAAGAACAATGATAAATGTGTTTGATCAATTGTTTTAAAGAAGGGCTGTTACTGTGTGTGTGTGTGAGGGGGGGCATGGAGAGGGAGAGGTGGTGGTGGTGGTGGTGGTGGTGGTGGTGGTTTGTGTATATTATTATGGAAGTAGCTGCCGTAGGGGCATCCTCCGTCTAAAGTCAAATCGTCGCCGTGATACACCATTGTAATAATATGTCAAAATATATAAATTAAAATCACGTATGTATTGGAGGTTGATAAGGTGTATTGATTAGTTCTTGTCTCATCCCTTTTCATAAAATAGTAACAAATTTTGACGAAATAAATATTATGTATTATCACACTATGCTGCACAAAATAATAGGATGTTTAATGAATTGTCCTGAAAACCTTTTATTTTGACATACGACAACGATGAATGTCGGCGACGAAGTATACTTCATGCATTCATTACAAACTTACTCAATAACATATTTTTGAAAAAGTCAAAACCAGGATGTAAAGATTCTAATTTTATTTGTAGGTTAATACATGTTCTCTAGCATAGTCGTCATTGACATAATTACAACAACTTTAAGGATTCAATACAGCTCGTATCGCACATATTGTTCTTGGCTTTTTCTTTTGCTTAAGGCACATTGTCCTTTTGTAAAATAATACATATTTGCAGCATGAGAAAAACCATCTTAAAGACAAAGCAATACTTTATTTTATGATCATAACATCATCACCATCATCATATTTCATTAGCAATAATATGAGTTGATGAAGTTCTAAGTCCATCATCTGCATCATCGTTTTTAGTAAGTAATAGTAAGAGTCGGTGAAAGCTCTAAGCACATAGATTGGTATCGGTTTTTCTTGTATACACCAAGCACAATTTAAGTTTTCGACAAACACTAGATTTCGTTACAAATACCCCCTTCGAATACAACCGTTACCGTCTCTGCAAGTATTCCTTGTTGTTTTTGCAGTTGAAATGTGTAATTATCCTTCTTGTTTTTAGTACAAATGTAAGCTGTTGATTTGTTTAACCAGGAAACGTTTTCCTGTTTGCCAAAAAAGAGGTTTCATAATGTTTAACTCATTAAGGACATATAAGGCACTTATCAAACCAATAATACAATTAGAAACACGAATCTTCTTAGTTCACAGTATGTATGCTCCTGTCTGCCTTTTAAAGTTTCAGATGACGAAAACAATATAGAAATAAACAATTTGTATGAATAATGAAGTTCTGTTGGGGGTTTTTGCCTGTGTTATTTTAATGTTCCAAAACAGGGCATCTTCAAGCATTGCTACCCCCCCCCCCCCTCCCCAGATTGCTTGTTTTTATTTAGTTAAAACATATAGCCACCGGTTCTTTATTCAGTATCCAACAAGTAATCGGGAAACAATGACAAGCTGGGCGTCTGGTGAGACTTGTATCAACAGTCTCAAGTCGTGATCGTAACGTCGAGACTCCTGCATTGCCAAAGTGATAATCAAATAAACTTATAAACTTGAAGACGTTTCCTGCTGACGTTATTTTATGAATTCGCTCACTTCTGTTGATTAAATTCCGGTATTCTAAGTTAAATATAATATGTGAGGCAACGTGGTGGAATCAGGCTCTCGTCAAAATAATCAAAGTGAAGAAACTTGCATTTTTCCGCAGGTTTGTGAATTTTTATCAAATGTATGTTTTTTGGCGCAACTCCTTTCATGCTCGTTAAAGAACTCATTTCTGTGTGAATTTTTCTGAAAAACGTTGATTAAAGGCACATAAAAAATGTAGAATTTCAGGAAATAACTAATCTTTGGCATCCATTTTCTTACTAATTTTTACCTCTGAAAATATGTGACCCCCACCTCAGTCTTTCCCATATATCTGGACTTGTATTCAAGATAAATGGATATTTTTTTCACCCAAATAAAGACAAACAAACAAGCTTTAAGATGGTACCAAAACAAAAACTTTACATGTTCAAAAATTGACGAGAGCCTGATTCCACCGCGCTGCCTCACGTATGAATAATAAGCAGTATTCATAGGTATATGATACATGCATGTGGTTTTGTTAGTTTTAGATTATAATCAAAACGAAAAGAATATTCAAAGAGACCTTGAATAATAATATAATATAGTGATTTGAGCTAAACACTCTACATAACCGCAAGGTATAGCATTTTATGTAATCTGAAAAGACATTACAATTTGAATTAACATTGTGTGACAAAACTAGTAGACTGTAACCTTAAGAAGTAAATTTGAAAATGAAACTTCGGCCTTCGAGAAATGAAAGCATACCAGGCTTTGTGTGGGGAAAACGTGTCTAAACATAATTTGAAACGCTGAGGTATGATTTAATGTTCCAATAGATAGGTAGATCTTGACAATAAATACCCCCCCCCCCCTACTTTTGTTTAATATTTGGAGGACAAATTTACAATACCATGTTTTCTGGGATTCTGTTTTTACCCGTTTTTAGATCGAGTGATTTTTTTTTCTCCAAAATCATGTTATCAATGCTATAATAGTTTTTTAAAACTTCGTATACCTTTAGTCCATGGTACTGGGTTGTTCAAAAATAGAATTCCGATCTACTTTAAGAAGGGATTCTAAGCATTCACCGAAGCAAAAGTGATGTAAAAAAAATCCCCAGTTAACTCAAATTGATGATTTAAAATCACACGTCACTTTAATTGCCATCTGAATCTGGCTTCAAGTATGTGATTTTGCTGAGCACGAAGGAATCAAACCCCCCAGACCTGTCCCTTGTGTAGCAGGTCGCCACCACACGGTTCATGTCGATCCGGCCATAGTTATGCGGGAATGTGAACACACTGGCTACTTCTCGAGCGCCGACCTTCATGGTGCCCAGGTCCTGGTACTTCAAATCGACGTAATCTTCCTCACCTGGAGGCCTCACGCGGAGCGTAGCCATGGTCTCGAGCCTGTGGTTACCGGTAGCGGAGCACCTGACCTTCGCCAGCTTTTCATTTATCTCCATGTACGATTTCTCTTCGACTACATGCGTTTTGAAAGAGAATGTGACCTTTGCGGTTGATTCTACTTTCTTCCCTTTAGGAGGTTTCACGGAGCAAACAAATTTCTCTTCAGTCGTGTCCTTGTCAGGTTTCGGGACCTTGAAGTCTGTTTCGGCTATCTTTTGTCCTGGGCTGTCGGTGTACTGGACCCTTCCTCCGATCAGAGGTTCTGGTTTGTCGTCTTCGTCAAATTTGGAAAAGGTCACTTCGGGCTTGGCGTCCCCCTTCTTCACGTTGCCATAGACAGTGCACTGAATGTCGCATTTCCTCTCACTGAAAGAACACTCTCCGTTCTTAGCTACTACGTCATAGAAATCTTTGGGGAACGCTTCTTTCTGGCCGTCAGGAACTATACTAATAATTCTAGTTAACCTAACACCGCTGACGAGAGCGCTGAAATCTTGGAAGGTGGAGAAAACCTTACTGAAACCGTTAGGGTTAACTATACCCGTGTTTACAAGCAGCTCGAGATCCATGGAGGAGAAGTATTTCGTCTTCGTATCGGCTTCACAGACAATATCATCCTGACCGTTTTGGAGACAGCTGTGCACAGCGACGTGTTTGGAAGGATCCAGGTACATTAAGTCGACACCCACGTTGATCTTGTACTTGTCTTCTCCTGCGTTCTTAGCGACCACAGGCAGGACGATCTGTTCTCCCTTCTGGTAGCTGACGGTCTCCGGGACGTCCACGGCGAAGTTGTGAAAGGGAATGTCTCGCTGGCTGCGCGACTGTCTGGCTGTGAGGGCGGAGTTGTCAAACAAGAACAGTACCTCATACCTGGGCAACAATAAACAATGAATTAAAGTTAATGAGACAAGATGAGAGAAGATGACATAACGTAATTATTATAAAATCGTAGTGATCTTCACAACGAGAAATTTGCTGCAGTATGGTGAACACGTACACGCACATGCCAACACACACATACATTCAAACACACACATACACACACAGAAACACACACAAACATTATACACACTCTCTTTCTCTCTCTCTTTTTCACTCTCTCTCTCTCTCTCTCTCTCTCTCTCTCTCTCTCTCTCTCTCTCTCTTTCTTACACAAACACCCACATTAACACACACACACAGCACTCACACTCTCTCTTTCTCTCTCTCTCTCTTTCACTCTCTTTCACTCTCTTTCACACACACACACACACACACACACACACACACACACACACACACACAAACACTTAAATAAACAGCCGTAGACAAAAATATATTGTCGGATGTATATGAACTACTTTTCACACAGATGACAGCAATACAAAATGACCAACACTTCAGACTAATTAAAGTGAGAAGCGCATTTTTTCGAAAGTGGAATATTTTGGCTGAGCGGTTGGAATATAAGAAAACGGAAGAAGGCATTGACAAAAGAAGATACAAAGTACAAAGTAAATGTTACGAACTGAATCATTGATGATCAGTTTTTAAGGCGCCAACTTTCCATTTTCATGAGGTATTTTTGTCTCTTTTTACTCTTTCGGATCATTTTAAAAAAATTACTTCAGCATAGATGTGCACGTGTTCTGTACTACCTATGCCGGTGCTGCAGCTTTTGATTGTATACTGTTGGTCAATAGTTTTAACCCTTTTACCACTCCCACCCTCCTCTGACTCCCACCCCCCTCCCCCCTGGCCGCTCAACTTGTTGATGTTATGATTAGTACATGTAATAGCGTCTTGTGCCGAGAATGATTTTAGTCCTCTTAAGGCGTGTGTTATAGATACTTGACCCCCCTTTTTACATTAAAAAGCAATCTGTCAACAACCCGACTGATGAAGGGAGGTTAATCACGACTTTTGTCGCTCGAGAAATTTCAGTCACAAAAAAGTTAAGCACGAGGAAGGGAAAGAGCCAACATCAGTCACAGTAAGGAAAATCAACCTACACTTTGTTTGAAACCAAATAAATGTTTGTTCAGTTGAAAAAGGTGGTATTTGGATGTCTATTTCCTTTAATCATTCGTCGGAATATGTGTCGTGCCTGAGTTCCTCAATAGTGTGGATCTGAGTTATAGATGGGATCACATATCTTATTGAGTGCTTTTTCAATGAAGTATGTAATTACGAGATACGTTATTAAGCCAAACTATGTAGCCCCCTTCCATCCATCAAACCCCAGAATGGGCCAGAAGTTCTAGGCTTCATATAAATCGGAGGCCACACTTGAGCAATCAATTTTTGAAAGGTGAGTCGAACCCGTACGACTAATGCATCTTTGTCCCATCTTAACTACGATTTACAAACGAACTAGCCTGTGGGCACACCCTGTAGCTCAGCTGGTATTATGCTTGCCTGAGGTACGGATAACTCTTCTTCAAATCTCAGAAAAGGCGTATGTGAAATTAGTCTGCGAGATGAAATTTCACAGTCCTCTGTCTGTCTGGTTTTGTTCTATTGAAGTTGTGTGTTAAAATCGGAGGTCCCGCCCCTTCAAGAACGTTAAGGTTTTGAAATCTTAAAAGGTGCGTTAATTGAACTCTACTACACACCAAACAAAAAGTATTGTGACTAAGATCGCCTTAATCTGAATTCCTAGAGCGGATGGTTGCATGACCTCAATTGCAGATCCTTCTTTTTCTTTACCGCATCCCTCTCTTTTCCTTGCCAATTCGGTTTGTAAAATTCATTTTCCCTTCCTGGCTGAATAATAAGCGTTATAACGTTATTGTGCTGATCTGCTTCTCTTTAACCTAACTAAAACCGAGCAACAACAACAACAGCACATAAAACTACCCCCCCAAACCACCCCCAGCAAAGCTAAAACCAAAACCATATAAAATCAAAATAAAGAAATCACCCCAAAAAAAGAAACCCAGAACAAAACAAAACAGAGCAAAACAAAACAAAAATATTAAAACTAACAAAAAGCTAAAAATAGCACATTCTTACCCTTGTATCGAGACAGTGAGAGTGAGCTCTCCTCTCTTGTCCACTCTGACCTTTGTCTTGACCTCTGCCAGGTAAGCCGGGTCATCGCTGGGGTTGGAGTCCGTGATGGGCTGTAGCTTGACGATCTTTGTCTCTCCCACGGGCTGAAGCCTCCACAAGATGTCCACGTCAGGACTTCGGATAGCGCTCTTGAAGGACAAGCTGAACTCGTTTTCTTTCTCCCCGTACTGCCTTCGCGCCTCCTCGAACTTCAGTGGAAGCCATATTGGATTCTTTTTGGCGCCAGGAGCCTTTTTGTCGTCCAGGAGTTTGTCGACCTTGTCCGATAACTGTACCAGACTCTGTCCCAAAGCGTTGACTAATTCCTCTATCTCGCCTAGTTTATCCTGCAAAAAGAATCGATTCCTGTAGCAAGTTAGTGGTGTTATGCTTTTACTTAGCGGAAGTTTTTGTCGAAAAGAAATAAATGCTTAACAGAGAACACGATATCGCCCACAAAGTGTTTTATTCCTCAAGAGGGTAATGCCATTGTCGTAGTTGAATACGTGTTATGCCTCAATCGACAAAAAATTAGATCATGTAGGAGACAGGATGCTTCCATCCAACCCGAGCAGAGAAGAAGGGATACAAAGTCCCGGTGGTAGTAATAATAACAATAAATAATCAATAGCATTTGTATGGCGTATGTCCCTACTCGAAAGCAAGCTCAGACAAGACTAAGACAATAATTGACTAAAAACCTCCCCAAACAGAAATTTAACATACGTCTTATACCTGCGACGCCAAAGCGCCTAACCTCACCCTCCACAAACGCCGTTGTGGGGAATGTGCTTGGGTGAGTGCTCATGATAATAAATTATGTGTCGCAACGTGGTAGAATTGGGCGCTCCTCGTTTTTGTGCATACAGAGTTATTGGTATTGTCTTCCAGCTTGTTCTTTAATTCTGGTAGCTTTTGGTAAAATAATACCCACGTTTCTTGAAGTGAGGTCCAGATATTATTTATCCCCCGGGGCGGTGCCCCTCACTGAAGTGTCTTTAGGCCATTCCCAAAGGGGGGACATTTCTCGTTCTTGCGCAGTAGAATTGTAAATGGGCTGATTCATCAGTGCCACGCTCATAACTGTGCCTGATCTACAACAGGACTGCTGCTTTTTCTTTCCTAATCCTTACTATTGTCATTTTCCCTCTACTTGCTTTGTATGTTTGTCACACTCTTGTAACCCACTATTTCCGGGATGCCTTGACAGTCGAATCAGACTTTGTGACTGAGGCTAGAGAGATGAGCAGAGTAAGTCTGTTTCCCATAAGGAGTTCTCTGTTAACATCCACCCCTTGGCGCTCATATGACCCTATGCAGTTGCGAGCGTCGTTATAACTCTTCTAAAACTAAAACTTAAATTAAAACAGATATTATTTTAAAGACTGAATGAGGTGCGGCTGGCCTGGTGTCAGAGGTACAGACAAGCGAGAAAAAAAATGATCTCCGAAGTTTGGTCATTTCCAAAGCTTGGGTGTTCTTGAAAACTATTCATTTTCATTTTGTGTGCCTTTCATCAACATCTTTCCCTAAAATCTACTCAGAAATGAGTTTTTGAATTGGCGTAAAAAGTGTTGAGCCCTAAGAAATAATATAAATGCACAATGGGCAAAAAAATAAGTTTCTCTTGTTTCATTATAATATTTTGGACGAGTGCCTGATTTCACCACGGTGCCATACATATATTAGAGGGAGATAATATCTTATAGAGGGAAAGAATAGTGACAGAGACAAATTGTTGGTGGGGGGGGGGGGGGGGAGAAAGAGAGATACAGAGAGAGAGAGAGGAGAGAGACAGAGACAGAGAGAGAGAGAGAGAGAGAGAGAAAGAGAGAGAAAGGAGAGAGAGACAGAGAGAGACAGACAGAGAGAGAGAGAGAGAGAGAGAGGGGGGGGGGAGAAAGAGAACGATTTTGTACCACTCTTTTAAATACAGCTCACCTCAGATTCATTACCACTTTGTGTCAGAGAACCATGCAACACGCTTGCAAGCAGGCACACCAGAAACAGTACCTTCATGTTGTGTCTACCTTTCAGAACCAGTCCAGCAGATGAGAGCTGAAAAAAATTGTTGATTGTTTTAATATCAATGAAAAAAAACACACAACAAAAAAGGTACGCTACATGGTGTATTGAAGAAGAGGTCAGGGTAGGATACAAACTGCAGACTCATGGACAAAGTAGCTTCAGGGGTTCAGTGGCCAAGCTGTTAAGCAAGCAACTGAAATGCTTTGAGTTCGAACTCCGTCAGGGACCTGACGTTGTTTCCTTGGAAAATGTGTTACAGCAAATCGAAACAAGAATTATTAGACTACTTCCCAAGGTTTAGAATTGCTGCTAAATTTGTCGGTCATATCAACGCATTCCGCGAGTGTCTGGATACACGTTTGAACACTTGCAAGTCGTTCATGCTTGCTGTTTCGTTTAGTGCGAATTTTTAAAGGAGTGTAAAGACTTATCGTAATAGTTTCGGCATTAAAAACATATTTCAACCAACAGAAGGGTAAGTAGTCATGCGCCTTTGTAAGTAATTGTAGTAGATGATATTTGAAGCCCCACTTACAGTACGTAATAATAGCAATTTTTCCGTCAACATCTGACGTTGGCCAATACATTCGCAGAGGCAGAGAATACTAATACTGTATTTCTGAAGTGATATAGAATAATAAATTTATGTTGAGATGAACTGTGACCTCTGCTATGCCCAATGAGATCAATTCTGGCAGAGAAATACCTGTATTGACAAATAGTTTGGTTTGCTTGTAATCTTAGACAAGAGGGTTGTTTTGAGTAGTCGGAGCGCTGTACTTATTTACATTTGGCCAGCGTGGTTTCAACAAGTGTCTGAGTTTGAGTTTGAGTAAACAGAAGCATATCGACAGAATGGCGGTCCATTTATGCAGAGGTAGAGAGAGAGAGAGAGAGAGAGA